ACAAAGGGCCCCCCCCCCCCCCCCCCATAAATCTCTCTTACAAGATTCCCAGGGTGCTAGCTCGTGGCTCACAGCTCTCCTAGATGTGACCAGGTAGCACCGAATTCTTGCTTAATGACCTGCAGCCTTGACCATTTTCTTCCTTCAACGTGTTCACAACTTTTGTCCCATATATATTATTTTATTAATCTCTTAAATGAGCATAGTGAGTATTTATTTAAAAGGAATACATGAATGGGTTAAAAAAAAATCAAACAGTGCAGAAGGATGTACAGTAAAAAGTGAGTCTCCCATTCTCCTCCCTATTCCTAGGCGCCAAGTTCCCCTCCTTGAGGCAGCTAGAAGTAGATAAGGAATACACACATATACGTATGTTTATGTACATGTGTATGTAAAACGCATCAAAGATTGGCTTTGGCCTTCATATTCAGCCAAAAGTCTGTCAATTGGCCTTCAACCTCAGCTTTTGGAAGTCTAAATAACTGAATGACTACTTCACCATCAAGTATAATACCCCTAAGCTTGTGCCTGATCTACGATCATGGTTACATAAGTATATTAGTCTGTTTCTGTGGCTTATAACATAAAAACCTGAAACTGGGTAATTTATGAGGAGATAACATTTATTGCTTACAGTTTTGGAGGGTGGGAAGTCCAAAGTCCAGAGAACACATCTGGTGAGGGCCTTGTTGGTAGTGACTCTACACAGTGACACAGGATATCTATCATATGGCAAATGGCTTGAGCAGAGAGAGAGCTTCTCACATGCTCTCCTCACATGCTCTTCTCACATGGCTCTCTCACAAGCCATCAGAACCATGCCCAAGACCACCATAAAACTATCAATGGATTAATCCAATCACTATGGCATGGTCTTCACAATCTATTCACTCTTCAAGGCCCCACCTTTTAAATTATCATAATAGAATTTCCCACTCTCAACAATTACAGTGGGGATTAAGCTTCAACGAGTTTTGGGGAACATTCAATCCACAGTAATAAGGTTATCTTATATCTAATCAGCATATCGACATTAGTAATATGTACAAGGCATGCCATTTAGATTTATTAATAGATGATACTCACTATAGAAGTCTAGATTCATCTTGAAGCAAAAATCTCTTTTGTGCTTCATCTGTTAAAATTCTCAGTCATTTGTACTATATATATAAATATTTAGTATTGTAAGATTAAAATACCATAATAATAAATAATGATTGTGAAAGCTGCAAATTTTATGTTCAAAAACAATTAAGCACTTTCAAATAGCAAATAAATCGGGGAAAAGACTGAAAGTTAAAAAGGATATTGAGAGGAAATGTTAGCTAGATAACTTTAGGAAGAATATTATAATCTTTGTGAGCCAATAAATGTTAAACAATTTTTAATAATACAAGACAGAATAATAGAGATTTGATTAAATCATAATTCTAATATTTGTCAACTAATTTGATGTCTCCCTAACATTCATTATGTCAAATTAAATAACCTTTAAGAATTATGTTTAATTTTTGATATTTAATTCCATTTAGGTTATGAGTCTTTCAAGAATAAATTCTATTTGGGAATTCACATCTTAATGAAAATTAATTTTAAAAAAGAATATCAGTTTTTCTACCTCAACATTTCATAGGCATAAAAAATTACCAAATCATGTACAATATCTATGATAAATCACCTTTGATCCAGACATCATGAAGAATATAAAGAGAATGGAAAAAAAAGAAAAAAGTACAGGAAAATGTAATATCCCCATATTACTTGGCTTCTCTACTGTTGTTGTGGAAAATGAGCATCTATTTCTTATGACAAAATTCAGTAAAATGACCTCAAGAGCCATCTTGCAGGGACCACGCTGAGCTATTACTATTCCCGCATGGTAATGTCAAACTTAAAACTAGACCATTAGCAATTTTAATAGCAAAATTATAAGAATAATTACATTCTTTGGGATAAAATTTCAGATTAAGGGGCTGACCAGTTAGCTCAGTTGGTTACAGTGCAGTGTTATTACACCAAGGTCACAGGTCCGGATCCCTACACTGACCATGCACCAAAAAAGAAAAAAATTCAGATTAATTCTTGCATCCCAGAAGTTTCATTCTGAGATGGTGTTATTTGGCTTTGGCCTCAACTTTAACCCAATATTGATTTTTTTTTTTTTTTTTTTTTTTGGTCCTTTTTTGAGACCAGCCGCACCACGCTCAGCCAGTGAGCGCTGTGAGCGCACCGGTCATCCCTATATAGGATCCAAACACGCGGCGGGAGCACTGCTGTGCTCCCAGCGCCGCACTCTCCCGAGTGCGCCATGAGCTCGGCCCCCAATATTGATTTTAACACCTGCCCAAGTGTGTGTCTGAGCAACATATATGCCCACATGTACACTGTTCTGCACCAGCTTTAATATTGATCTTAACATCTGCCCAAGTGTGTGTCTGAGCAACATATATGCCCACATGTACACTGTTCTGCACCAGCTTTTCTTCAGTTAACAATCTGTTCTCCAGAGTCTTCCATGAACGTCTTTTCCCTAACAATTGTCCCACCAATTACCTAACCAAACCCCAAATGATGGACTTTTAGGATGCTTTCAATCTTTTTTGACAAAAAGTGTTGCAAAGACTACAGTATACTTATATGAATACAACCATAATAGCAAAATGAATTCTGAAAAACAGAATTACTGAAGGTATACATATTTTAAATTTTGATAGATTTGTTCAACTTATCGTTAACAACCCTTTTCACCTTGTATTTTTATCAGTCTCTCTCTTGTAGAGGTGATTCTCCAGTTTTAGTGGCAGGGCTCATTCTAGGGAATAAGAAAGTCAGCCAAAGTGACTTTAGAGTCCTTCTGTCTCCAAAAGCTCCTTCGCCCCCCATGGCCCTGGTCCCTCTGGCACTTGGTCAGATG